TGGTAACATGATTGGGGTCGCTGATCTCATGCAGTCGATGACCCTAGTCGAGTTCATCCCGGCACAAGATGGGGACAAAGCCAAGCTTGTAGAGCGCGCTCGTCACTTTCAGTACATTTGGGCCACATCAGTATGTCACTTGGAAGAGCATTCGTGGCTCGAGTCCGATGCGCAAGGCAATCTCATGGTACTGCGGAGGAACCCCAACGCGCCGACAGAGCATGACCAGAAGCAGATGGAAGTCATTAGTGAATTCCACCTCGGAGAGCAAGTGAACAAGATTCGATCACTCGACATTGTTCCGAATGAGAACGACCCGATCGTGCCAAAGGCGTTCCTCGCAACAGTAAGTGGACTTTCACCCGGCCATGGTAAACGGTTGCTAACATTTGCCTAGGTTGAAGGATCGGTGTATGTCTTTGCCGACATCAGGCCAGAGCACCAAAGTCTACTATTGCAATTTCAAGAGAACTTGGCCGGAGTGGTCAAGACACTGGGTCAAGCTGACAATGCGCCGGGTGCCGGGCTCTCATTCATGTCATGGCGTGGTTTCCGGAATGCAAAGCGCGCGGCAGATGCGCCCTTCCGCTTTGTCGATGGGGAGCTGATTGAGCGGTTTTTAGACTTGGATGAGGCTAAACAGGAGGCCGTCGTTGCAGGACTTGGGCCGACGGTTGAGAATATGCGCAACTTGGTAGAAGAGTTGAAGCGCATGCATTAAAGCAGAATAGGATGATGTAGGATATTTAGAAACATGGAGTTGGGCGAATGGACCTGAAATGAATGACGCCCACGGCTACAAGTAAAGATAGTGCAAAGCAAGACATTTCCTGGGTGGTGGCAGAGGTTCTATCCTCTTGCCTCACAAATTGATGTTGTGGAAGACATACAAATCATAATCCACTATCTGGGGATGAACAAAATAGAAATTTGTCTCCATGTTGATTTTCCTAATGGGGGATTTGCATCTATCCACATCGTCACAGTCATCACTCGTGCCACTCCGGAAAGGGCCGGGTCCCAGCTGAACCCACCAACCAATCAACAAGCACCAATTTCAGAACCTTCTGCCTGAGGCGACCAGCCAGAAAGCTTTCGGCAATCCTCAAACCACGGGCATCACGAAAAAAGACGCTCTCCTACTGAACGTCATCCCTCTCCCCAATTGCACCTCGCAACAACCTCTTGCCGCCGCAAACCCTCTCCTCTCCTCCTCCGATTTACGAGATGGCGCCCCTCGCACACGTTTCCCGCACTTGCCTGCGGCAAATCGCGCGCACCAGCCCGTCGACGGCTGCGCGCGCGCTCAGCACCTCGGCCGCCCGGAACGACTCGACCGCTACGAGCTACTCGAGCCCCTTCAAGGGCGCCCAGAAGGGCAGCAGCATCCCCGACTTCAGCAAGTACATGAGCAAGGGCTCTGCCGGCACCAACCAGCTTTTCGGATACTTCATGGTCGGCACCATGGGCGCCATCACCGCCGCCGGCGCGAAGTCCACCGTCCAGGGTAGGGAATACTTCCATCCGTAGCCCCGAGGAGAACCACAGACACCGAAATCGAGATTTCGAAACACGACATGGGATAACGGAAAGGACGGGAAACTGTACCAAAAGAAAACAATGGCTGACGGACCGGTGTCAATTGCAGAATTCCTCGTCAACATGTCCGCTTCCGCCGACGTTTTGGCCATGGCCAAGGTTGAGGTTGACCTCAGCACCATCCCCGAGGGCAAGAACGTGAGTTGGCCCGATTGACAAAGCTGAGCGGCGGTATGCAACATTGAGACGGCCGTACTGATATTTTTGGACGACAGGTCATTATCAAGTGGAGAGGCAAGCCCGTCTTCATCCGCCACCGCACCCAGTCCGAGATCGACGAGGCCAACAAGGTCTCCGTTTCCTCCCTCCGTGACCCCCAGAAGGACGACGACCGTGTCAAGACCCCCGAATGGCTCATCATGTTGGGTACGTATCTTTTGACGACAATCGATTCAATTCTTTTGGTGGCGAGATATTGCGGCCTTTCGGCAGCTAGTCAGTGCTGGAGATGAAGGATCGAAAGTCTCTTCAGCAACCGCATACCAAAACACAACCCCCGAATTGGCGCACGTGAGCTAATAATTCGTCTCCTAGGTGTCTGCACACACTTGGGATGTGTCCCCATTGGCGAGGCCGGTGACTTTGGCGGTTGGTTCTGCCCCTGCCACGGCTCCCACTACGATATTTCCGGCCGTATCAGAAAGGGACCCGCTCCCCTCAACCTCGAGATCCCCGAGTACGACTTCCCCGAGGAGGGCAAGCTGGTCATTGGTTAAGCGGGATCACCTGTATGAGTATTTAGGACGAACGGCAGCGGGAGAGAGAGTACGAAAGGAGGTCAGAAACCCCCCTCCACTCCTTCGAGGGAAGCGGGAGGGCTTTTGGCCGAAATGATGGCAACAACAAACTACTAGAACAACATTTTCTTTTGCATCGGAGACCGAGCTGGTGCTGGTTTGGGTTCCTACAAGACGAGAGAGAGGTGTCCATTTTCTTTTTTCTTAGACGTGTCCCTAGGGCAATAATGCCAAATGTACAAAAGTCAATGAGCGTCCAGGAACAAGCAAGTCTTCGCAACTTTACAATATGCAGGTGTTGGCCAGGTAGATATGATGTTGCAGGTAGCTGATATCAGAGAAGAAGCCGAAGCCGAAGGACCGAAAGAACTACGAAACTAGCATTCGAAATACCAATACCCCGGCACCGAGACTCGAAGGCGGCATCAAGTGGACGACGTCGCAGTCGTCAAGTGACCGGCCAGAGCCCGGACGTCATCTTACGAGAGTTTGGAGAGATCACGGTTCGGAACAAATGTGACGGGGGGCGATCAGACTGGGCCGTGTTCATGTGACAAGTCAGCGTTGGTTCGGAGCGAGGATCCCGGGTGTGACTGGTTTGAGAGCCGGCATCCCACTATCGAGACTGTTATCACATAGCACAGTCGATTCCCGCGTGGATGGGTGCCACACCTTTTCGGCAGATAGCGGTCTGGGCATTTTCGGAGACGGGAAATCGTACGGCGCATGATAAACAATGTCTTGCCCTCAGTTGAGGGTGGGATGACTGTCTGATCATTGGCCCGGGGGCTCACGCTGGGCTTTTGTTGTGGTATGCGGTGACCACGGCTGAGTTTGACAAGGCATGGCAGAGAGGGAAATTCGTCTGCATTCATGTTTTGCATCATGGCTCAAGAGGTGGATATCACGACACGGTTTCCTCGCCAGGAGCTTAGAGTGGCATACAATCTAGGAGTAAGAGCCAAGGCAAAGGGAAGAATGCTTCATAATCGGACTTTCAAGTGCACGGGCGCCGCCATCGGTCCTTGGATCTGGTCCGGTTGAACCTTGAGAGCAGGTGGCATAAACAGATCGACGTATTTTGCCGGCTTGATGAGATGACACTTTTCGCCAGGCATAAATCGGACAGAACATCCGGTAATGATGGCGTCTATAGTAAAGGTACTAAGCTAAGGCAGATCTAGGTGCTCTTCAAAGTTCAGGCCACGATAAAACATGGGACGGCAGGTGGTTGATCGATCTTGGTGTCGCAAAGTCCGACTTGGACGAGAGAACAATAACAATTCATCACCTTGGCAAGCGAGCAAGGTTCACAACAACAGAAGTTGAATAAGTTGGCAGGTTGAAGTTGGAGGAGGGGGCCCGTTACCCCCGGCCCATGCCCCTGTGGCTCCGAGTCCCCACACCTCTGCCAAACAGAACGTGGTCGAGCCAATGAGGCCACACAGAAAGACGGCAGGAAAAGAGTGGATGAGACGCTGTTCCGCGACGGGTGCCGTCTGATTTGCAAGATCCTCAAACTCTGCTCAACTTCAGCATCCCCCTCCAAGGACAGGGGGTCGGTGGAGGCCGATTGGGGGCAGCTGGGACCATGTCTTGGACGACGATCTGGCGATGAGGCTCCTTTTGAGTTTGATATTGGTTATGGCAGAGGCAGATGCCGAGTGAGGTTGTTCGGAAGTGCGGTACCGAAATTCATCGAGTGATGGATTTGGTCATGCGGTTTTCGGCAGAGGGAGAAATTCTATCACGACGGCCGATGTGCTCGAGCGCATCCTCCAGCTTGAGTCGGATCGAGACCTGGTCAGCAAGATCAATGGCATTCGTTGAGTTGCCTCCACCAAGACCGTCGCAGAGAATGAGGCCCGGTTATTCTTATCTCCTCTACCCTTGCCAATTCTCTTCGACAGCCCCGTCACTTCTACGCAGCAGTCCTACTCGAGTCTCGGCCCAGTTCCCGAAACAGATCGAGCCGTACGCTACCATGGACCATGAGCCGCATGGCACGCCGCCCCGTCTCTCCGGAACGGGATGAACTCTTGGCTCGCACACGTCGAACGGTCGCCACGTCTCCTATCCCCAGTCCATTCACTGTCGTGGCCAAACCGTATCGGAGGGCAGTCCAGCCGACGGTTCCCCTTACTCCACCCCAGCGCCTCCGTTCTGGGTTCTCTTGTTGACGATTCTGCCAAGCAAGGCCGCATCATCGAGCCCGGCAGAGTCAACCTTACCAACGTTGCGTTGATCGACGCGTTGGTTTTCCCAAGCGGGTTCCTCAGGGGAAGGATTCAACGTCGCGGCCATGAGACGAACCCAAGATGTTGGTGGGCTCTGAGACTTGTCCACCCCTCCCCTGGTGTAGATGATGGGGTTGCCGCGAGCATGTTGTATATAACTCGGCGCCTGCTATTCTTGCTCCACGGTTGAGGAAAGAGATTGTTTTCTGTCTTTCAAGCCATCACCGTTTTCCTTCTCTTTCGTTTCAGTTCTGGAAACTTTCTGTATTTCTATCAAATCATTCATTTTATTTTTTCTAGGCTCTTTGTCCATTAAGTGTTCTCTTGGGCCGGCCCTTCTTTTGAACATTTTAAATCATTAGTATACACTCTACCTTCTCGAAAAAAATCTGAAAACGAGAGTCTTCTTTCGAAAACCTTCGCAAGAATGAAGTTCCAAACCTCCACTGCCCTCGCGGCCTTCGTCGCCTTCGCCGCCGCAGAAGTGCCCCAAGAGCATTCCCACGAGAAGTACCTTCGTGCCGTCAACGCCCTCCTGAAGCAAGACAACCCGAACAACATCCAAGACGCAGTCTTTGGCCTCCTCGGCAACGCCGCCGCCGCCGCGGGCGCGGGCGACGTCACCAACCTCGACTGCCTGCACCAAACGACGGCCGACTCGGCCTTCACCACGGCCAAGGCTGCGGGCGACGTCGACGGCATGGCGAGCGCGCTCGTCTTCCGCGCCGTGGAGCGTAATACGGGCAAAGTCGGGCTCAAGAGCGTGCTGTGTAGCGAGACGGCCGCGAACCCCGAGATTGCGGCGCTGAGCCAGCATCAGGATCCGGCTTCGGATGGGGCAGCTAAGACGAATAAGGCTATTACACTTGAGCTTGCTAAGCAGCTTTCTGCCATCGGGGCTGATCCGCAGCTTGCACTTGATGCTGGTACCTTCGAGCCTGGTGATGTAAGTCGTTTCCAACGATAAGGTGCAAGCTCATAGGATAAGAAGACTAACGTATAGGCAGGTCAACGACAACACCGGAGCCGGTAACACCTGCGACGATGCCAATGATACGGAGGGATGCATCTTTAGCCAGAACCTCATTGTCAAGGACGCCACCCCAGAGGAGATTGATGCCGCTGTTGCTGGAGGTGCCGGCAACGCCAAGTCCGGCGGAGCCAACTCAACCGGCAAAGCAGGCCGCTCGCGCAATGAAAGCGTCCTGAGCCGTACCATCCTCTCCCAGCGCGATATTGAGGGCACCGGCGCCTCCGCTTCCGAGATGACCCGTCGCCAATCCAAGAACAAGAACAAGAACAACAACAATGCCGACGCCAACGCCAACAACAGCACCGCCGACGCAGCCACAGGCACGACAAACGTCCAAACCTTCACCGGCACCCTCGGCGGCCCCGCTCCACCTGTGACCTCGGACCCTTCCGCCAACAAGCCCTTCTCCGTCAACGGCGCAACCTTCCTCAACGCCGGCGCAGCCCTTCAGCGCTCCTGCGCGGTCCAGCACAACGCCTGCGCAAACGCCGCGAACTCTGGATCAGGTGACATCTCCGTCTCAGACTGCGACGCGCAGGAAGACGACTGCCTCGCGGCCTCGTCGCAGACGAAGCTCCGTCGCGCGTCGGGTCTGAACGCACGCGGTGCGCGGAGGATGAGGATCGCGACGACGGCGCTGTTGAAGGGTCGCCAGGCGTTTGAGTTTGGCGAGTGCCAGGACCCGAGTATTGAGTTTGCTGAGGGTCTCGATGGGCGCAAGGAGGCTTCATTTGCCCCCGCTGGCGACTTTGAGCACGGCAGTGCGTTGAACATTGGTGTGATTTCGGGTTTCATTTGTGGGCAGTTGGAGAGCCGGTGTCAGGCGGATGAGGCTGCTGTTGCGGCTTGTCAGCAGGGCGAGGCGGCTTCTAAGGGGCTGAAGGGGCAGGCTGCTGCTGATGCTTTCAACTCTGCTTTGGGACTTTGAGGGGTTGAGTAAAGGATGGTGTTGGCTAGTGAGAGGGAAGATGTGTATGTGTTGGAAAGACGAGAATGCTATCGATGTTGGGATAACAGCTCCAGGTTGTTAGACGTGGGATGACTGATGAATCAATTTTCTTTGTTTTAAAATCGGTGAGATAATTATGTTCACTCTGTCAAATTCATCGAGTTACTCTAACTATACTCGAGAATGTGAAGCCAAGAAGTTGATTTCAACTTCAACCATTCTAGCTGGAAAGTGATAAAGTTGTAGTCAAGCTTGAGAAGCGCAATTATTGTAATGAAATTCGACGGAATCATGTGTCAGTGCAAAGCAACAATGCCAAATTTAAAACCCATTCTCAATCGTGGTTCCTGGATCAGCGGTCGCTGCCAATGAGAATCCAATCTTTCAGATGTGGACATTTTCATGCAGGCGTTTTCCTGGATCTCTGCTCCAATCTCACTCCACAATCCCCAAAAACGCCGCCAAACTCTGATTTTTTCTCACTCACCAAGTCACCACCAAAACTTTCTATTTCAACACCCACACATTCGTACTCACCAAACTTGAAGAAAGAGAGCGCTTCAAAAATTTGCGCCCCCTGCTTCATGATGTCCGAGTATAAATACACTCCCCTCGGGGAGCGGGACTTCCGCCTCCTCTCCCTCGCAGCAGGCCGCTTCGACGACGCCCTCCAAGGCGACCTCATCACCCGCCCCATCGACACTTACGTCGAAGAGGCAAGCAAACACGAGAACGAGCTGCCCGAATCAGCCGACTCATATGAAGCCATCTCCTACGTCTGGGGTTCCAACGAGAAACCCCACCACATCACCACCTCTGCCGGCGCAAAGATTCCCATCACGGAAAGCCTGTACCTCTGCCTTAAGCGCGTGCGTCTCGAAGACCGCGCTCGCCTCGTCTGGGCGGATGCGCTGTGCATCAACCAGGCCGACAGCAAGGAGAAGGAGACGCAGATCATGCTCATGCACGACATCTATCTCAGCGCGCAGAGGGTGCTCGCCTACCTCGGTGAAGAGGCCGACGGCAGCAGCGAGGCAATGGAGCTTATCGAGCGGTACTGGCGCGTCCACATCCCCGACCCGCTGAACGCCGGCGCGCGCGCATTCGCAGAGGACCTTTTAGGTGCACCGATCCCCGATGCGCCGACTGGTGCTGGTGCGGAGCTGCCTCCCGTGGGCGCCGATAAGTGGTTGAGCGTCTCGCGGTTCTGGAACCGCGCTTGGTTCCGCAGGGTGTGGATCGTGCAGGAATTCATCTTGGCGCGGGACGTAATGATGATGTGTGGTGAGAAGGCGGTAAACTGGTCGCAGCTGTGGCCGGGGACGATTGCGCTCGAGGAGCCGGAGAACCCGCCCTGGCCGTTGGTGGATGCCAAGGGGGAGGAGATTGAGAGCGCTGCGGAGTTGATGGCGAATATGGCGCAGAGGTTGCGGTTTTATCAGCTTGGTGCTATGAGGGGTAACACGAGGTCTCATGAGCATGAAGGGGGGCACGAGCATGGTGGTGGATGTTGTGGTGGGGATGGACATGATGATGATGATCACCACGATCACGATCATGGCCATGAACACGGCGACGACTGCGACCACGATCACGACCACGACCACGACGAGGGAGCCGACGGCGACGAAGGCGAATGGGAATCAGAAGATGAGGACGAAGACGACGGCGGGAAGCGCTCAACAGACCTCCTCAACCTCCTCATGTCCTTCCGCGAAGTCGACGCAACGGACCCGCGCGACCTCTACTTTGCGCTCCTCGGTCTCGCCCTCGACGGCGACAGAGAGGAGTTCCGCCCGGATTACTCCGCCACCTTTGAGCAGACGGCCCTCCGCTTCGGCCGTACCCTCCTCCACGAGCCCTTTAGCGAAGAACTCCTCGACCACGCCGGCATCGCAGAGAAGCACAACGGCGCGACGGCAAACTTCCCCTCTTGGCTGCCCGACTTCCGTCGACCCTGGCGGCGCATGACGGTCGCGGACGCGGCTGAGTCCGAGGCCGCGGGCGAGACGGACTTTGATTTCGGGTTTGATCCGAATGCCGAGGAGGACGAGTTGCTTCTCAAGGGTGTCAAGGTCGACACGATTGAGCACATGAGCGGCGTGCCGCGCGCGGCGCATTTGCATGCCGATCACCCGTCCCTGTGGGTGAAGCGCGACATGGTGACGCTCTCGCAGCTGTTGTCCAACATCCCCGGCTTCGAGGACTCAAAGTACCCGACAGGCGAGACCGGCCTCGAGGCCATCCTCCGCGCGCTGACTTTCTTCCGCACGGAGGGAGAGGGAAGCGAAGAGGACGAGATCCCGGTCACGACGCTGAAGCTGGCGTGGCGCTTCTGCACCGCCGTCGAGGAGGACGACCTCGACGCCGCGCGGCCGGAGCGGGATGTCCTGCGAAAGGAGATCATGATGTCCGGCTGCACCGCGGAGGAAGCCAACGAGGCTCTGGAGGCGGCGGCGCAGGTGTTGATTAACCGCATCTTCCCGATGCGTGCGGCGCTGGATTTGGTGTTGGCCAAGGGCGGCAAGTATGTTGCCATGGTGCCGGAGGGGAGCCAGACGGGCGATGAGGTGTGGGTTATGAAGGGGTGTAACGCGCCGTTTGTGTTGAGGAAGAGTGGTGAGAGGGAGGGGATGAGGAGGATTGTGGGTGCGGCGTACGTGTATGGTATCATGGACGGGGAGGCTGTTGAAGGGATTGAGGAGTTTGAGGCTGTTTCCATTCATTGAGAGGGATGAAGGGATCGATTACGATGGTTGTTCATGGTGGGCATCATGATAGTACGAAGGGGGCCCGGAGTCGGAAACAGAAAAAAGGACTGAGAGGATTGGTACAATGGCGTACATAGACACTATGAAATACGATAGAAGAAAAGAATCAGTAGCTTGAGATAAAAACTTCGCCAATTAAACAGATCTTTTCCTGTCATGAGCGATACCTTGATGGCCTCGGCGGGCGACTATCCCGGAAAACTTCAGGCAGTCACGTACATGCGGCATATTGAAGCTAAACATACAAAAAAGCCCATTAGAAATAGGGGCATATTTCTGGAGCTTATGTGTGGTACTTGTATATTTTTGCTATGTATCGCCTAACCGCCCACTCAAAATTTGTCCGTAATGTCCATTTAGGCTGGTAAGGCTGCAACGTTGATTTGATGGAGGGCCTACGCCATGTTCGACTCGTCGGGTGTTCTTTGGTGGGCTATCTAATCGCAAAGGATGATGAAGTCGAGTTCGTCATCTCTTAGCTTCTTAATGACACTTGACCAGCCCGCATCATTCGTTTCAAGGGCCGCGAATAACATTTCAATATGTCGGTGAACGCCCGGGTTCTGAAGTGCCATCAGTCCACTCAGCGCCACCGAAGGACGGCATTGACACTCAACGGCTGCCGAAGGGTCTACATGGCTCCGGGAAGGTTCTCTTGGGTCAAGTTGTGCACGAAACAGTTCAAGTGAAGCTTAAGACATATGGGGCGGCATTTCGGGGAGATGACACGAGGTAAAAGGTAGATGCGGCAGCACATGCAGTGTACGTCTAACCATGTTCTACTCCCCGAAGAGCCATATGCAAGGTTGCATTGGACATTTGCCGAAATATTGACCTTTAGGCCTTGACATCTTCAGGGTAACATGACTAAAGTATTGCAGACTTGAAATCAGAAATATCAGTGATCGTCTGAGATGGGTAAAGCAATTCTAGGAGTTACCATCGACATCGTTCCTGCCTGCTCTGCCGGAGGCCAGGTGTCAAAATGCAAGAGAGGACAGCAAGCACTAACTATATTTTCCTTTACGTACGCACAAAAATGAGACTGTAAGACCATTGTAGTGAAGTAGCCGGGTTAACTCATTGACACTTTGATATTTTCATCGTCTCGCTAAGTCTTGGCTTGCTTCTCCAATGGAATTGACAAGTCATATAATCCGAGTAATAGCTGCGAATACTTTTTTCTGGAGAAACGGCCCTTCATAAACAATACTGGTCGATAGATGGTTGAAAGATGACGTGTTGCAGAGAGGCATCCAAGAACTTCATGCTCTGGGCCGGGAGTCTCCAAGTTTACCCCTGTAACATTGAGTCTCCAGGTCTGGTGAGAGAAAGAGACCATACACGCCATCTATCATCATTCGAAGCGGTTGCAAACCTGAACCTATCCCCCGCGGTCGGTCCTATAGCCAATGCCCTGACCAAAGCGGCATGGGGGAGAAGTCTGGCAATTAATCCACCGGTTGTCATGTCCCAGAATCGTACATCCCCATCCCCGCTGGCGCTCAAAACCCATCCGTTAGGTAAAACTTCTAAGGCCAATACAAAGTCCTAAAAGCATGGTCAATTTTCAATATAAGTCGAAATCCAACGGTTCATCATACCCTGTGGCCCTTGACTTTCCGGAGACATTCCAGGGACTGTGACGAGTCGTCGCATTGTTGGTTTACAGCCTGGAAAACATTGACAGAGCAATCTTGAGATGCTGTAATCACGTACTTGTCGTCGGGAGAAAATCGAGCGTCATTGACACCACCCGTGTGGCCGTAGCACTCCCAAATTCTGGGTTTGGGCTGGCCTTCTTCAGAAAGTACTCCAACCTTTGGTGTCGTATCGGTCTTCCATACTAGCGCGTTAGATTCGTAAGTGAAAGCGACGAGGAAGTCGTTTTGGTTGGAAAATGCCACCCCGGTCACGATGTTTGAAAATAGAAGAACGTGGGAACATTCCCAGGTGGTGGTGCTCCAGAGTCGAACTGCGGAATCTGCACCAGCAGAAGCAAGAAGCTTGCCGTTTTTTGAGATATCCAGCTTGTAGACAGTATTGCGCTCATGCCCAACAAGTGTTTGGACGACAGTTTGTGACTTGATGTCAACTACCTATAGGGTGTTAGATAAACATCCTGTTGGAGAAGGTGTATCTATGCACGCGCGAAAGGACTTACCCGGATCGGATCATTACCCGAGCATACAACGAATAAATCGTCGTTCGGATGAAAACAGGAGTCATAGTAATCCATCCTGTATATCTCGGGGTTCGGCACCATTATTTCTTCAGAGTTTAGGATGCAAATGGCTTCCTCGGTTCCAATATCAAGAACTTGAAACAAACGTTCGCTGCATACTCCGACGTAAGGCCCGCGCGGACTAAAACACACGTCGAGAACTGGGGAATCCAACTGACCCGTGTGTAAGAGAGTGAGATCAAACATCTTTGGGATTGTTTGATTGTGATACACGGACCAATCTCTGCCTCTGACTATGTGACTGGGCGGTAATGAGCCATAAGTAGGTTGAACAGGCGACTGATCGGGACAGACTTTGCCACGCTTTTTCTTGTCTTGTAAACCGAGGAATAGAGAGATGGCAGCCAGTGTGCCCATTCTCTTGATCAAGACTTGCCAGCCACGCGATAAATGATCTTGGCCTAGTCGAAACGGAGTACCCTCTTGGGAATATCTCTCACCATCCGGGACAGCGCCTGCACTGTTCAAATCTCCGACTTCACCTGAGTAAAGTCGTGGGAGAGAAAAGAGAGAAAGCTGTACAAGATGATGGCCGACATGTTTTCGAAATGAATCTGCATCGACATAAACGTCAGCATTATCAATTTCGTCCTTGATGTCAGTCTGCGTAGACGACTCGGCGTGCGGCTCAACGATAGCCCACTCGTCGTCACAGAATGGGCATTCGCTGGCCAAAATTTGCCTTGCTGGTCGCTTGCATTGGCTAATAAGCGACGAAAGCTGACTGGCCACTACATCGCTTTTATGATACTTATGCATGTGTTCTTGCATGTCCGCGGAGTTCTGAACCGTATTAGCGCACAACGGACATTCCCAAATCGTACGATGGGCTAGTAACTCGTGCTCGAACCAGGTATGAGCCGAATTAAAGGTATCCAAGGTACAGTTCTGGTCAAGGCACACGTATGGCTCCAAGTCATGGATGATATGTTTCCTATATGAACATCAGTAATGATATCAACGGATCGGGCTCCGTAAACTTGCCGCCATTGCACTTCTTTGTTCTTCGTTTGCCAGAGAACAATTTCCAAGCAATACGGACACAAGAACGAATCGCTCTTCTGCCCCTCCTGGGGTATCGGCGGAAATTGAAGTTCTGTATCAGAAGCTTCCACAACTGTGGTCGCCATCGAGAATACCGACATGGCAGGCTCTGGACTTTGAATTGCGAAAAATTGGGTCTCTGGTTCTTTGTTTCTCACGAATTCCGTGGCTTCAGTTTCTGCTAGAATGCTAGGCTTGGTCATAGCAGACACGATTGACCCTTGTGGGAGGGGTTCTCCGTCAATTGGCTTGGGCTCGGCCCGTAGATGAGCGTCTCTTCTGCCCATGATTATGTCGTCTTGTTGGGAAGCCAACTTTTCTTGATGTTGCTGACGATATTTGAAGTATTGTCTCCGCCGAGCATTTGCCTCCGCTAGACGTATTGCCAGAGGTTCGTTGGTTTCCCAGAGGATACTATACTTATCTTTGATGTACATCAAATCAGCAGTGTTTACGAAAGGCTTCGTTTTGGAGGCTCGTTGGCGTCTGTCCTCGGGCGCGAATTTGCGGATGAATACTGAAGCTTTGAACAGGCTGTTGAGGCTTGTCCTGATTGCTGATAGAAGCTTCTGTATCTCCGAGGGTTTGCCGTGTCGACTATCCCGAGTGCTGTTCGAAGTAGTAGATGCGCCTGACTCAGAACTGCTGGAGGAAATATCGAATTCCTCCAATTCTTCATCAGTAATGTCCAATGTCGGCACGACTCTGTTAGGTCGACGGCCTGAGACGATCTCTGTAGCTATAAAGCACGCGTTAACATTTGGGAAACAAACTTCAAACTGGAACGTACCCATTTTGGCAGACTCGTTCAAGTCCTCAAGCATGCTGAAAATGGAGGCTGTGACCGTGGGACTATCGCGTAGGCGATGGTCGAGCGATAGCTTGGAGCTAGGCTGTCGAAGAGCGCCCAGGTTCCCAGCCCATTGCTCGAATCTTTCAAGCAGTTGCGCGAAGTCTCTTTCTGTGAGTTCATGCTCCCATGTGTTTCTGCTCTTTTCGAACTCCTGGGCAAGACTCGAGAGACTGTTGTAGCAGCGGCGTGCGGCTTGGGAAATCTCAGGGCTCGCCATTCTCAAAATCGCGTTTGAGTTCTTTTCGTAATCTTCCCGGCTGATCTTAGTTCTTCAGACGTTAATTGCGAAATGATTGAAGGTTGATTGAGGTCATGAGGGGGCTTTTCGTTGGGACCGGAGTAGTCAGGGGAACCAACGTGCATCAGGGCGCGTATGCAAGATTCCATGCACATCTTCATTCTGATTTGTCCAGACCAACGTTTCCTCGGTATTCATTTCCAGAGCCTTATGATGACTCAGATTACCCCGCAGTAGACGATTGAAGATAAATCTCTCAGTGTTACGATGTCACTCGTTTTGAAAGGTTGCCTGTGACCAACGGGAATGATTGTCGCGAGAAGCGCACACTTATCGCCGCCATGTCAGGATTCGAGATTGCTGGCGCTGTTCTAGGTGGCTTCCCAATTCTTCTCAACTGCATAGATTATTACCGCGGAGCCCTTGAGCCGATGGACAATTGGTGGCACTTCCGAAAATATCTCATCGAGTTTGTCGACGATATCAGGCACCAGAACATGAGATATCATGATAATCTCATTCGACTTCTCGACCCCATCATTCCTGACAATGAGAGTCTTGTGAACTTGATAAGAGACCCCACCGATTTCCGATGGAAGGATGGTAGCCTTGAGGATCATTTGAAAGACCGCTTCCCAAGTGAGCTGGACCGCTTCCTTCGAACCATTGAGAGGATGCACGATGTGATGTTGGAGCTCTATAAGATTCTTCAAATTCGAGATGGAAAGGTAAGGGTTTCCGGATTCCGTTGGCTCAATAGTTGTGCTCATCCCTCGTTGAATAGGCCCCTTGGCTAGGAACGGCAGAACACAACCCAGTGCAGTGGTATTGCAAGCGCCTGCAGTTGAGCTTGTCCAAAGGCAAACATAAAAAGGTGCAAAAGCTGGATAAACTCAATCAGGTCCTACAAGATATGGTGGGATTCAGTGAGCGCACTCTGCCGATATCTGATAGGAGAAAGAGTTCCGGCCCAGTACGCCGTCTAGAAAGCGCTCGCCAACACGCGTGCCGTGTGTATGAAACACTGAGAGATCACTGGAGATGCCACCAAGGTTGCAATTGCCACAAAGCACACTTGCGATTGTGCGGCGAATCTTCTCCCGAGACTTTATACATGGTTCTTGTTTGGGGTACCGGGGACAGCACGGATTCCTCACTTAAGCCCAAGGCGTACGAGGTCATGATTCAAAATACTAAAGACCGGAACCCAGCCACATCGACAGACATCGGAGTTGTTCATGGATCAGCGACTTTATCTCACATCCAAAGCATTACGGAGCAAAAGACACAATATATCAAATCGTGGCCGTCATTCCTTGATAGGGTTTCTCACAGATTTCAACCTAAACCGGCTGCAATCACTGGCTCAAACCAATCAACCCCCACGAAGAATGTCAAGTTTTTGGAGCCAAGTCCAGCTATATGTATCACACCGTCCGAAAACGAAGCTGCTATGAAGAATGGCGGGGTTTCCCTTCCCTGTCGGAATAATGACGAACGATCCAGCAGGCAGAAAATCGAAAACCTTTGCGCCTTTTTGGAGGAGACATCATGGAACGAGGGTGTCCTGCATGACGAGTTCGACAGGCACCTCGTCTTCAATAAAGATTCATCAGGTTTGCGACGTATCGTTCCCGGCAAATTGAGGCTTTTGTCTCTCACCGAGTTGCTAGAAGCACACCACCAAGCGGATATAACCCTTTCGAGGCAGTCACGGTTCGAGATAGCAGCCCATATCTCGGCGGCGCTACTCAACACGTATCCCTCGCCTTGGATGCCTTCTTCCTGGACGAAGAGCAGCTTCTACTTCCTTGTTGACGATGAGACGCTCTTGAGCTGCCATCCATTTTTGTCAAACACATTTGAGCTTGACAAGGAAGAGAGCTCGCCCTCCGAAGAATCGATGTTAACCAAGAACATTTCGGAACAGGCAGCCCGCAACTACCTGTTTACTGTCGGCGTAATAGTTTTGGAGTTGATATTTGGGCATGACATCAGCCATTGCCGCTTCCGAAAAGATTATCTCCAGGACAACAGACCTAATGAGCTCACAGATATGCTTACTGCCCAGCGTTGGGCGAAGAAGGTGCTAGGTGAAAGTGGACCGAATATTGCGGATGTTGTTAGGCGTTGTCTAGACTGTTCATTTGGCCCAAGGCCGGTATTCTCAGACGTACGGTTTAGAGAGTCGATTTACGAAGGAGTCATTAACCCTTTGGCATCATACGCTAAGATATGGCCCGAAGTGATGGTTTGACACCATCGAACGGTCAAGACCTTGTACCTGTACTCTAAATAATTCAATCACCCCAGGCACGCTAGTAATGCCTCAGTCACTGTAAACGATCATCGTCCAGGCGTTAGACAATATATTTTGTATTGCTCGCGTTTGAAGGATTATCACAGAGGCAACAATACATGTTTTAAAGTAGATATGTCAAACGAAATCAGCTACAAGCTCCAATATGCAAGTCCGAAAACATAAAGTCGCTTGATAGAGTCGAGACGATCCCAGTCTCGGCAGCTTGTGCATTGTTGTTGAGGCACTTTGAACAACTGTCGCGTCGAGAATGATAGAAGACAAAGCTGTCTTCGAACTTCCAACCAATATCTAGATGGCCTTAGTAGTATGCCTAGGATATGTAAGTAGGCGGGACCAGCAAATCTTTGTCAACTATTCGGGACGGCGCGGACATGAGGTTATGTGTGGGTCTCCCGATCCCGCTAACGGGGCCGACCGAGCGTACGGGTGGCTGGCGTTGTAGGCGTCATCGATGATTGTTCGCAGCATCATTTAGTTCATCCCTGTTTCGCAAGTTTCTCAAAGCGCTGTTGAATTTCAGTTTCACTTAAAGTTGGATATGCTTCAGGCTTTACATCGTGCATTCACTCCTGTTTACGCGAAATCATATCAAGTTCTACGTGATAATACAGTTTCATCCTTCTACCCGACTCGCAGATTCCTGTCGTACTCGTCACACAAGATGCCTTCATCCAAGGGAAAGCCCACTGACCCCGAGTTGAGGGAGGAGATCAAGGAAGGTACGAGAAATGAGGAGGGCTGACAAAGACTGATTGATGGACAGTTGTTGATACTCACATCCATGACCAGAAATTAAGCAAGAGCCCAACAAGTCGGGCGGAGGAGAGGGACAATGGGCCGCATGGAAGGTATATCACCGCTCTTTCTCAAACCTCATGGGTCTAATGTTCGTCGTGATGCCGGTCTAAGCGATCAACTGACAAATTCCGTAGGGCGCGAAATTGGCGAAAGAATACGAGAAGCAGGGCGGCGGCTATGAGAATGAGGCGGGGTCCAAGAATGAGCCAAAAAAGGGCGAGCCCGAGAAGAAGAGCGAGAGCAAGAAGAAGGCTGAGACTGATGACTAGTTAGTCAACATTTTTCATGATTATTTCAGTCCAGTATGAATCCAACGTTGATTTTTCTGCAAGCTTCTACTTTGGTCGATTTCTATTGATTCAGTGATGCCTAAGATGTCGCTGTTGTCGCTTTTGTTACGAAGAAATGCGCGTAGGGCTTGATCGTGCCGCATTTCCGTCAACGATCTGATGGGGCAGGTGAGATGGCGAAGGATTTTCTCGCATTCACATCTCACTCCTCTCCGTTCTCTCCACAGTCTCACTAGCTTCAAAGAGAGGTAAACCAGTCTACTTACCTGACATGAGGTAGACAAAATCACCGCAAAATGCAGCATCTCACAGAAGACATCGACTCCCAAGACGAAGACGACTGCTGGACGCCCCTCCAACGCGCCGCCCGCGAAGGCGATCTCCCCGCCGTCCACGCAGCCCTCGCCTCAGGAGCAGACGTCAACGCCCCGCCGCGGGGCTACTACGGCCGCACAGCCCTCCAAGCCGCCTGCGAAGCCTCCCACGGCGCCGTGGTCTCGGCGCTCGTCGCAGCCGGCGCGGAAGTCAACGACACGCCCGGCAACAACGGCGCCAAGAACGCGCTGCAGATTGCGGCAGGGAAGCCGGACCTGGCCATCGTCAAACTCCTGCTGTCCCACGGCGCCGAGGTCAACGTCTCCGCGTCGCGATACTTTGGCATGACGGCGCTGCAGAGCGCCTGTGCCGCGGGGCTAGACGACACCGTCGCGCTGCTGCTGGACCACGGCGCGGAGGTGAACGCGCCGCCGGCGTCGACGGCAGGTCGGACGGCGCTCCAGGCAGCGTGCGAGGGCGGGTTCGAGGAGATGGTGGCGATGCTGATTCAGCGGCGGGGGGCAGAGGTGAACGCGCCGGCGTGTCGGAATCGAGGGTTCACGGCGCTGCAGGCGGCGAGCTACGGCGGGTGGGCGGGGCTTGTCGAGCTGCTCCTTACGGCGGGGCCAGCTGCAGGCGCTGCAGGTGCGGGGGCGGATGTCAACGCCGAAGGGAGCAGGTTCAAGGGGGGGAGGGCGCTGCATGCTGCTGCTGAGGGGGGCCACGTGCGGGTGTGCGAGACGCTGCTGGGCGCCGGGGCCGAGATCGAGGCTGGGGCTGGGGCTGGATGGGGGGGTAGAGGGCAGACTGCGTTGCAGTGCGCTGCTGCAAGGGGGCATGATGAGGTTGTGAGGTTGTTACGGAGCAGGGGGGCGACGGGATTGGAAGGTGGAGGGGTGACTTTGTTTGGTTGAGTTTATCATGTCGAGCACCGGTGGGAGGAACTATTGTGCATACAGGTTAATTAAGAGCGTGGATTGGGAGATAAGGCCATGTTCTAAAGATACGGGTGTTCAGGATGAGAAGTTGATGCCGGTCAATTGGAAGATATGAGTTGTGAGAGGAACAAGATAGAACATTAGAGTCTCTGCAAGAGATCGAGAGATGGACAAATCAGGCTGCAACGTGGCCCAAGAAAAGAGAAAAGGGAACTCTTCTGGCTGGGTGCCTACTGTGTACTAAACTGCAATCATTGGTGGCGCATGAACACCGCAACCAACACCATACACCTCACACCTCACACACCAAACTTTCCAACCATGACACAGGCCGCACAACCCATCTGTCAGAACATCAGCCAAGTCAGCCGACTCTCCCAAGACAAGGGAATCCCTCGCCCTGAGCCGGTTCACAGCCTTAGCGGTGTCGTAGTATACTATGTAGTATAAGTATCTACAGTTCACTTAGTAAATGGTAAAAGGATGGTGCGGGCGTCTCGGCCGCGTTCAACCGGGGCAATTCCGGCCCCGCCTACCATCGGCTTCCACCGGCCTCCGTGACTGCTTCACCCCGCCGGCGAGACCTGCCCGTTGCACACTCCCCGGCCCAGGCGGAAGACTAAATAGGCACGTAGCCACAAACAATTACCTAAAAATGTGTCCCAGATTTCCAAGGCGCAGTTCCTTAATCCTCGACTATCCTTCGTCCGTACTTCTCAACAGTTGTATCACCTTCACAGCACATCCGCTAAGACGCTACCCCGTGACGTAAGACTTGGCTTTTACCACAATGAGCCGCTTCGCATTGTGGACCTGCTGACCATCTTTGGTATCCTGATTCCTGTGGCCTGGTGAGACGGAGGGGAAAGACGAGAGGAAGAAGAGGGGGCTTCGAGATCCTTTTTGTGCTTTTGGGTGCTTGTTGTGTATCGATCGAGGCTATCTGTACATCAGCTCACTCTCACACTAGGCCGTCTTTGCCAATCCAGCCCCCTTGCTCTTGACCTCACGCCCCCTCCAATCCGTACCGTATCTCACATCTTTCGAACGAGGCGCTGTGATCCTGGAATAACTGGGGTTTGACTGGGTCTTCCCCGCCAACGCTTCCCATCGTCTGGTGGGGCACGTCTTGTGCGCAACGCCCGCGCCAGTACAAGCCAAACTCAAGGTACTTCCTGAAGCCGTCTGGAACACGAACCGAATCGATAAGGAGACGGCGCTTTGTCCCTTTTGTACTTTATCCATTCCCGACCCCAGCTTCTGGAAGCTGAATCTGACACTCTTCCTCCCATTTTCACATTCTCCAACTACCTTGCTTGCTTCTGCCTCTCTCATGTTTGTTCATGAGTGGTGTGACGTGATTGACCAGAAACAAACGAGACACCACCCACCATAATACACCCAGAAGCTATCTTGCCTACCTCGACACCGTAGACAAGTAGAAAAAAGGCAAACCCACACATAACCATACCGAGGCAATCCCAAAAATCAAGAAGAGAGACAACAGGCATCATGGGCTCAACCCACGAGACAGATCTGGTCCTCACCCAACCAACCCCAGCAGAGCGCCTAAAAACCTACACCTCAACCTACGCAAACTGGGGCGCCGCCCTCGAGCTCCAAGAATACATCCGCCGCGAATCCTACATGACCACCGTCCCCGTCTCCCGCAACGGCGGCATCACCCAATGGATCCTCACCGACCCGACCCTGCCCCCCGACGCCCGCCCCATCCTCTCGTCCTGCGAGAGCATCCGCAAGACCGTCCTCGTCGCGAAGCCAGACGGCACCGTCGTCGACGCAATCACCCACGCCGTCGGCTCCGTCTTCACGGACCCGGCGTACCGCGGCAACGGGTACGCCTCCGTCATGATGAACCTCGTGGGCGCGCAGCTCGCGCGCTGGCAGGGCGCCGAGATGAAGAGCGGTGAGCGGTGGGGGGGTATCCGGGACGGGGAGGTCGCGTGCTCGGTGCTGTATTCTGATATCGGGAAGAAGTTTTATGCCAAGCATGGGTGGCATCCGTATGAGAGCACCCACCTCGAGTTCCCGCCACAGGCATCGCCGCCACCCTCGGAAGCGGGAGAGGGAGCGGTGGGAGCGGTGCAAGTTGAGGCCTCGCCGTTGGGGTATCACGAACTGGCAGAGCTGTGCTCCGTTGACGAGGGCCTCATTCGCGCGAAGCTCGCGAAGAAGAGCACCAAGACCCGCGTCTCGCTCATCCCTGACCTGGACGCCATGCTCTGGCATCTCATGCGCGAGGACTACATGACCAAGCACATCTTTGGCCAGACGCCCACGGTCCGTGGCGGGGTCGTGGGCGAGCACGGGTCGCGGGTATGGGCCGTCTGGACAAGGGGTTACTACGGTGGATTAAAGAAGCCTGAGGGGAACACGATGCATATCCTGCGGCTGGCGATCGAGGACGAGGAAGGGAGCGGAGATGAGTATGTGCAGGGGGCTATTGAGGCACTCCTTAGATTGGCGAGGGCGCAGGCGTCGGAGTGGAAGGTGAACGGTGTCGAGATGTGGAATCCTGAGCCCCGGGTGAGGGGGTTGATCGAGAAGGCGGGCATTCCGCATGAGTTTATTGAGAGGGAGAATGATAGCATCGCCAGCCTCATGTGGTATGGCCAAGGAGAGGTTGAGTGGGTGCTCAATGAGAAGTTTGGCTGGTGCTGACCGATTGGTCACATATTTTGCATATCATTAGCAGGCTCATACAAGTGGCAACACGTTGATTCAATAGGAACTTCAAAAATATTCACAGGTCTGGACATCCAGGCCGGCATGACGAGGTATCATTAGCAAAGTGATCTATGAACCGTCTAACCTTGAACACTCCCGCAATCAGCCCATTTTTGCTTTTAATTCTTTTTTCCAAACATCACTCACGTTCCTCAGTGACCGTGTCCGTCGTCCTCGGCCTGCTGCTCGGGGTCCAACTTGATCAGGGTATCAATACGCATGATGCTGATGCAGGCCTCCACGGCACTCTTCAGCTGCCTGATCTTGCTGATAGTGGGCTCCAGGACACCGGCCTTGATCTCGTCAATCACCTTGCCGCGCACCAGATCGAGACCGTAGTTCTTGTAGGCCTTTTTGCGCGCGACCGTCTTCTCGTCATCGTTGGCCTCGCCCTCCTGGATGCGCTGAGACAGCGCGTGCCGGGAACGCAGCTGGGCGACAAGCTCTGATGCGTCCTTGGCGGCGTTGACGGCAAGCGTCTTGGGGATGACGAGCAGCGACTGCGCAAACTCGCCAATGGCCAGCTGCTCACGGGAGCCGACGGTGCCAGCGAACTCCTCGAGGTAAATGTGCAGGGCGGTTTCGACGGAACCACCGCCGGGAACGATGCTGCCGCTCTCGAGCGTTCTCTTGACGGCGTTGAGGGAGTCGTGGATGGAGCGCTCCATCTCGTCCAGGGTGAAGTCATTGGGTCCACGAAGAATGATGGATGCCGAGGAGTGGCTCTTGGTGCCCTTGACGAGGATGCACTCGTCGTCGGAAATGCGCTCCTGAACAACCTCCTCGGCGTGTCCGAGGTATGAGGGTTCGAACTTCTCGTCACCGTTGAGGTCCGACAGTGTGCTGAGCATGGTAGCGCCCGTCGCCTTGGCGATTCTGCGGAGGTCCTCCTTCTTGCACCTGCGCACACCCATGGCACCCTTCTCGACAAAGGTCTTGAGAACCATGTCATCGATACCCTTGGTGGTAAGGATGACA